GAATCTACAGAATTAAAGGAATGAAAGTGTTTACTTTAACCCAGGGTTCCCGCGGGTCCATAAAAAGTCTTAAAAAGTCTTGAATTTAACTTGCCTTATGCTGTAGGATCCCTGTACCTTTTGAATTCTAACTGAATATTTTGGGGAGTTTTATGTTTTTAACGACGTAGAAAGACGACCCGGACGCCGTAGGTTTCCCACTCCTGCCTTAGCAGAAAAACAGGAGATCCTTCATCGAATTTCAGTTTTCTTCTTTTCTCCACAGATTCTCAGAGGAAAGGAAGACAGTCTGACTGGTTTTCTGGATCCTATGAACTTTGGAGACAGTTTGTGAGTGTCTATGCAGAAGGCAGAACCAAACGTAGATCAGACGTTTGCCCTGAATAACGTGTTCCCTCTGATCCCTTCCTCAGCCTGTCGCTCAGTCGCCTCTATGAGGAACATGTTCTGGCTACAGGGAGTCTGGATGAGAGAATCTTCACTGGAGAGGGGGCAAATGACAACATCGGGACCCCTGGGCCGTGCCTGTGTGAAGGGATGGAGAACCAGGACAGTAACGCCTACAGACTGAGCACAAACCTCACCGTAAGGCTCGCCTCCTGCTCATCCCCTGCCCTCGTTTCTTCTCTTGTAAACGGAACAAAGACGCCCTCTCTGCTCCCTCCAGGCCTCGGTTCTGAAGGTATCCACTCCTCTGACGGGGAGGAAGTACATCCAGGAGATCCGACTGTCTTCCCCGCTGTCATCGGCCATGAAGAGCGTGGGCCGTCTGCACACTCTGCTGTCAGGCACCAAACACGGGCCGAGCGCCAAGCTGGCTGAGATTCTGAGGTGTGTGGAAGGAGACCAGAGGTCCACAGCGTCAGATTTACTAGCATGTATTACAGTTCTGCTTCTAAACCTTCACAGCTGTGATGATTGAGTGAAACTACTTTAGCAGCAGCAGCAGCTCTCAGTAAAGGCTGTTTGTTCGATCAGACTCACCTGGCTGGGAAGGAAATCATTTTGCTTCATTTTGCAGATGTTCACTCCTACACAGCCTCTCTGAGGGTCCCAGCACCACATTTCAACTAGACTGACCTAAGAACTTTGACTAGGCCACTGAAAGTCCAGACCAGCCATCTGCAATGATTTTTATATTTATACCCCTGCTGCCCAGAAATATTACCACATCCTGATGCTGCTTTTTATTTGTGTGTTTCATGCTGTGTTTCTGCTCAGTTTGTTAGTAAATAAAACACTTTTGCATATATTTACAATAACAACGGTGCTCAACTGGAGATATAACACTGGCCATGTGTGCAAGGAGGAAATAAGGAAGTAAAGGCTGGGGCTCTGTCTGAAAACCCCAAATCTGTAAGGAACAGGAGGAGCTAATAGGTTTACTAAGAGGGAAAATAATGAAAAAGTCATTTTTGCTAAATAATCTTCTGAAATGAACTTTTTTTATCTGAAAAATGGTCGCTTTTATTTTGACACGTTGTTTTTTTTATGAAGCCTTAAAGGAATAGTACACCCAAAACATGATTAGCCTTCATTTTCTACTCACCCCCATGCTGAACAAC